TCAGCGGGGCTGCGGGTCCCCGGGGGTCTGCCCAGGCGGCGGCGGAGGGTGCCTTGCGGGGTGGGACAGCGGGTCCTCGCCGCTGACACCACATCTTTCCAGGGCCGTCCGTTTCCCGCTCGGCGGCCCCTCTGGGCTGTGCCTGCTCTGGGAAATTGCTTTCCCCCCGCCCCCCACCCCGATTGAAACTCCTGCTCTTGACTTGAATCGGGACTTTGTTAAGGATTCAGAGGAGCATTCTCAAGGCTTAGCAGGTAAAGCCGGGCCTAGGAAATTTCAGAGCGGGGAAGGGGTGGTAAGAAAACACCAGAAGGATGACATTCTTCCTGCTGGCAGATGACAAATCTCTGTTTGTGCACTAGGGCAGGGCCAGCTTCACAGCTGATCCCTTCCTGAGAGGCACAGCATCAAACCCCGGCCCTGCCGGCTGGAGGTCGAAGGCAGAAGCGATGAGACACAGATGGGGAGTCCTGGGGGGATGGCTGGGGAGAGCCGAGGTAGAGCCAAGCAAGCGTCAGGGACACAAGTGTCCAGAGAAACAACTTCCCTAAACTGAAAATCCTCCCCCCACTTGAAACATGTCTCGCAGAAATCAAACGTCGTGGTAGAGGTGAAGTGTTTTGTTTTTGCTGACTGGATGCCAGGGCCTATAAAATGTTTGGTTGTTTCCTGCCTAGCAAAAAATATGGAGAGGTTTGAACAACAAAACTGATGGAGCACAAAGGCAAAAACACGTAGTACCTTGGGATATTGTGTAAGGGAAATTGCAACCACATAGCTGAAAGTGGAGCTGAATGAAAGGTCAGTGCTAGCATCAATAGGTTCAAGCCTCACGCTAGCTGAAATGGCAGTAAGGGTAAGATGTAAAGGATGTTACTCTGTGTAAATAACCCTGGAATAAAGTTCAGCTTGGTCATGCAGTTCAGTGGATGAATAAACAAATTGTGAGGAAAAACAAGAAAGAATCTGCCACAATGAACCCATCCCTCAACTGTTGGCTGGATAGACCTAGGGCCAGGGAGGATTTGTCTAAAGGAATGGTTGTTTTGGCTCCAGGTGCTCTTATATCATTTGGGTAAGCAAATAATGCTAAATATTTGTAGCGGTGATGACTTGCCATTTTAAATAAAGGATCCTGAACATAACCAAACTGTTCTGTTCACTAACAGATTTAAGAGTATTATGCCAAGAGTTTAATAAATGGATTGCAGGTGGCCCCCTTCCATGTTTACCTCATGGTGTTTGAACTTTAATAATGCTTCAGTGCTAGTAAACTGAATCCACAGGTAAAGAGATGTCACAATAATATTTATTGCTGAGCATAACAAAGTGTTATGATCTTCAGTTAGTGTCATATGATGTTATATGCACAAGTGCCTTGTGTACATAATACGGTATGTCTTTTCTGGAATAGAATTTATATTAAGAATTGCTCAGTGTTTTCAATCCTGACTTATTGAAGTCAATGGATATTTTGGTATTGATTGACTTTGTTGGATGAAATTCTGTCTCCTTTTTTACTCATCTAGTGCAACAAACGTTCAGGGATTTTTGCAGTAGAAGGGACTGCAAATTTGATTGGTTTATGACTGAGATACGCTCTAATGTTTTACAAGTCTGAAGTTTGCAGTTTCATGGTTTGTATATTACTCCTTGATTTTGATATCTGTTGAAACTGAGTTTTTTTCAGGATACAGACTGACTTCTTTATTTGTTAAATACTGAACGTGATATGGCCTTGTTTAGGTCTTTAAGACAGTTTTGAAGTATTATCAAAGAAAGTTGATAGTTCTGATGTTTCTGACAAACTAAAAGGCTGCCTGAATCACTTGATGCCCCAACTCATATAGCCTATCAGTGGCTGTCATCCAGAGAAAGAAAAAAAAATTTCAAGTTTCAAAATTTTGTTGTGTTGTTTTTTGAGTTGCTGTTGCTGTCCAGGATTTATCTTGGCGACAGCATTCCTGCAATAGCTAGGAAGTATGCCTTTTTTTTTTTTCTTCAATTGTTATTGCTTTAGTCATTTCTAGTATACACTGAAGTCATAAGTAATCTATTAGTTAGGGCACTCTTGTTTTGAATATCTATCTTATCTATTTTACTGTAATGCTGAGTTGAAAACATTTGGGAAAGTTGTATCAGCATTGCTCACATGTTAACAAACTTTAAATGCTCCTTAGTTCTGTGTTTTATTTGGGATGCTCCTATAATAGAGTTTGTTATCTTATTGCCCTTGTAGCCTGTTCTTGATGCAAGCAAACTTGGTGCTGAGCTAATAACCAAGACTAGAGAGTTGAGGTTCCTGTTCCCTTGAAAATCAGGTAGCTTAATATAGCCACAGCTTATATTTATTTTTGTGAAGTCTGTAGAAAGCGAGAATGAATCAGCAAGATACTCTTATAAAGGCCTGCAAAATGCTTCCTGTTGACTGGATATAAATGTAATTTTTTAGAAGCAGAGCACCTGGGAACATGGCCCTGCGAGAGAGAGAAACCAGCAGCAGCTCCATCAATGACAAGCAAGAACAGAACTGCAGTCGTGTTATTACAATTGTCTTCCTGGCACTCTTCATCGACTTGTTGGGATTCGCTCTCATTTTGCCACTGTTTCCTTCCATCCTTGATTATTACAGCCAGACTGAGGTAAGCAACAGAGAAAGTCAGCCTGCTGAAAATGTTAGGTATGAGATCTTTAGGGAAGGATGGAAGAAAAATCCCTTGCCTTGGGGCAAACCAAATAGCTGTAGGCAGAATACTAATATCCAGCACATTTAAATGGTTCATGGACTGAACTTGTTTATGAACCTGCACGAGACTCTTCCTCCTGCTTTTTCATTAAAATGAGGGATTTGTTTTGGGCAAAATTCAGGTATTTCTTAGGGGCTAGTCCTTGTAATTACCAGTGCGTTTGTGACTTACACTGATGTCCCTGGTGAGACAGAGTAAATGACAATCCATAATGGATCTGCATACTGGGATTTATCTAAGAACCAGAGATAAGAGCTCTTACCTTACTTGAGTATTTCACACACTCTCTTGCTCCCACCCCCAGCATCATGTTCACTAGGTCTCAACTCCCATTCTTAGGAGGGAGCTGCCTACTGGTCTGGGAACATGGGGCAGAAAGTTGTTTTGGTTCCCTGCTGTGCAGCTGCTCGCAGTTACCATTCTCAGGTGTTGCTGGACAAGATGAAGATGTTGTCAGGGGAGGAATTTTTGCAGCCCACACCTCTATCTCACAGCCCCTTTCTAACCCCACTCCAACTGCAGCTGTAGCCTTTGTCTTTCTTACAACCCTGTCTAGCCCTAACCATGGGCTCCGATCTCCATGATCTTCCCCCACTTCCAGTGTATTTCCTGTAGCCAAGATCTTCACCTTCTTTTCAGGGCCCCCTTCTTCTTTTCGAGTCCTCCTGCTCTTTCAGGAACGATTCTTTTTTGCACCACCTCTTCTTTCTGGACCTACAAGCCTCTGGTTCTCCCAGTCTAAATAGTGTATGTGCAGACGGATAGAATGTGTCTCATGTTGCTTTGTTAATTGAAGAATTCAGGACATGCTGCTTTTGTTTAGTTCAGGTTTTAGCAAGTAGCAGGCCTGATGGTTTAAAAAAGTTCAAATTCAGACATTCCCCCATGTAAATACATACACCCAATTATCTGCTGCCTGTTAGCATTCACAGTTTAAGCTATTTTTAGCCTATGACAACTGATCCACCAGGACATTTTCGTGAGGAGGAGTGAAGGAATCATCTAACGTTACCTCTAGTTCACTAAGTTCTGATGCTGTCTTTGAAAATAAAACAGAGAAACTGTCTTCCTGCTTCTATTTCCCAGCTATCTGTTTTGCAGGATGGATTCTATTTGTCATTGCAACGTGGTGTGGACTGGTTTGCAGTGATGGTTGGGATGCCTCCAGAGCGGAAATACAACAGTGTCTTGTTTGGAGGTATGGAAATTAACAGTTAACAAGTTAACAGACTAAAAAAAAAAGTGTGTTGTTTTCAAGTTATTTGCAGTGTTGATGTGAGGAATGATGAGGACAATGACAAGAAATACAAAAAGCATACTTGCCTGTTATTAGATTTAGACTTAAATAACACAGAAAATGTCTCTTACAATAGGCTATAAATGATTTTGTTTTCACCACACTGATAGCAATGAAGAGTTGGACAGCCCTATCTCTGTCATTTGGAAACACCTAGACAGGCAGGAGGAATGGGCCAACAGGAACCTTCGGAAATTCAGTATGGGCAAATGCGATGTCCTGTCCCTTGCAGTGATACAGGCTCAGCACTGACTGGTGGGGAGCAGCTCTGCTGTAAAGGCCCTGGGCATCCTGGTGAGCAGCAAGCTGAGCATGAGCCAGCCCTGGCAGCAAAACCACCAACAGCACCTGGGCTGTATGAACAGAAGCAGAGCCAGTAGATTGAGGGAAGTGATTGTCTCCTTCTACTCAGCACTTCTTAGACCACATCTAGAGCATTGCATCCAGTTTTGGCCCCCCAGTACAAGACAGACATTCATAAACTGCAACGAGTTCAGCAGAGGGCCAGGAAGACAGAGGGTCTGGGGAGCCTGGGCTTGTTCAGCCTGGAGCTATTCACCCTTCCAATACCTATGGGGAGGTTATCAAGAAGACAGTGAAGCATTTCACTGTGGTGCATGGTGGGAGAAGGAGAGGCAACAGGCATAAGTAGAAGCAAGGGAGGTTCAGGCTGGAAATAAGGAGGAACTTTTTCACAGTGAGGGTGGCCAGTGGAACAGATTGCCCAGAGAGGTTTTGTAGTCTCCATCCTCAAAGGTTGTCAAACCCTGACTGGATGAAACCCTGAACAATCTGGTCTGACCTTGTAGCTGACCCTATAAGCAGGCAGTTGGAGTAGGTGACTTCCAGAGGTCCCTTTTAACCTGAATTATCCTATGATCTTGCCCAATTTGTTCTACAGATTGCTACAGAAATACAGGCCTGCTGTTCCTTATTGTCAGACTGCCAGCTGAGGGTCAGGAGTCTGCTGTGCTAGACCCTGCACAGTCACAGAAATTACTCTCCCTTCACAACTGATCCACACGTGATAAATCAGTAGGAAACACTGGAATTAGAAGCTTGTGAGTCCAAGTCTCACCTCCCTGCTGGGCAGCTATGGTGCAGCACTGCTTCTAAATCCCATTAGTCCTATTAAAAGCAGGGGAGCTGCTGACTTGCAGGGTCCAGAACCATTTGCTGTCACTAGGACATTCTGGTATGGGTGAGCTCCAGCGGGAGTAGTGCAGGAAATCCAGCAGCATATATGTCATGTTACACATCAGAGGTTCTTTTAGCTCCTTGCAATCTGGAGAGTTGTGAGGAAACTGGGATTTCAGAGTATGAAGATGTGAGGGTGTCTGGGTTAATTTTAATTGGAAATATCTAGATCCTCTCCTTTTAGTGAGCTGAGGCCTTCCCCAAGATAAGCAAAAGACTTTTAAGCTAAAAAAAAAAAAGCAAAACTTTATTAGAATATGAGTGTGAATGTATTGTTAATATTTAAAGTAGTTTTTTGGGGTTTAATAGGCATTAGAAAGTTTATAAACAACTTTCCTCTTTCCCACAGTGTCCTTGCAAGCATGTTGTTGTTTCTGTGCTCATTTTCAGTCAGATTACTGGCTTTGAATGGTAGGAAACAGTTTTCTTTAATCCCTCAGAAACTGCTTTTTGTCTCCTCTAAGGCCTGACTGCAAGCCTCCTCCTTGTTCCTTCTCTCTGTCTCAGACTCTGTTTAAAGAAGGGGCTGGGAGCTCACAGTCGTGTCCAACTTGTTGCCTTTCCTTTTACCTGCTGTGTCCTGTACTCTTGGGAGTGCTGTATCTGTTGACTTGGCTTAGTTGCTTTCAAGGGGAAGGAAAAATCTCCCTGCTCCTTCCAGAGGAGTCCAACTGACTCTTTTGCCCTTTGAAGAAAATATAGCATCTAACTGGGAACATGCAAATAAAATAGACTCTGTTTGTCTCAGAAAGGAAGCTGGTATCCCTTGCTGTTTTCTCTCTAGGAGAAAAGTATTGAGAGAAAAGTATTTAGAAGCAGTATTGAGTAGTGATGGGAATGTTCGCTAATTACCTGGCAGCCACAGCCAGTGAGGGTGCAGAGAAGGTGGCTGAATTAATCTGATACCTGTCACATTTGACTCCATCTCTTCTGCTGTCTTTGATGACAGCTTTTCTTAATGAGCCATCTAATTTGCTAAACCAGCAGAAAACTACTTTTTTCTTTTCTTTTTTTCTGAATTAGTTTTATGCCAGATTAAGTTGAATTAGCTCACTGGAGAGTTGACAAGACTGCAGAAGCAGGGGAAGATGGACAAGCCATCTTAGTTGTAGTCAGCTCCTGTCTCAGTCCATCTTGTCTGATTGCACCTTAAATGGTTATAGTGGAAAGGTTCATTATACTTGTGATATTAAGCAGAGGCCACTGCAGTCTTCCTGCAGCCTGCATTCCTTCATTGCCTTCATCTGCAACAAGGAGCATAGGGTCAGAAAGATAGTTGCAAGATCATCTTGTTGCTTCTCCCAGTGCAGGATATATTCTGCTCTCTTTCATCTTTGCTTAGACTGCAACCTCTTCAGGGCAGAAACCTTCCTTGCCCTTGGCAAGGCCCTGAGGGCACCAATACGTAGTTGCGGTGATCAGCCTTCACCCCACACTTTCTGCCCAGTGGTTCAGGAGCTGTATTTCAGCTCAGGCCTGGGCCTTGCTTAAGCTATGTCATAGGTATAGCCTTGTCTCTAGGGCTGTCTCTGCCTGTCTCTTGGATGGACCTTGGACCTACATTGCAGGTGTCTTATCTCCTGAATGGACCTACACTGTAGTCTTGTTTCCACTCCTTTCTCTGACCCTGTCTCCTGTTGGTGCTGACTGGACTCCCTGGATAGACCTGATGTATAACCCTTGCCTTGTCTGGGACTGTCAATGGACCCTGCTAGCGGCACCCTGCTCTGCCCAACCCATCCGGATCGTGTGGGACTGCACCCTCGTTGGTGAGGGCACTGCCAGTGTTGTGGTCACCCTCAGCTCCTGGCTCGTTCCCCTGTGTGGAACAGCCCTGCTTTTGCTGCTCCCTGGCTATGAAGTGTTTGGCATGTCTGGTGTTTTACAGTGCTAGAAATACAAGGAGGAAAACTTGTCTCTCATTAACATAAACTGCCAGTGTACCAATCTGTAAGATTGTGGCCAGCAGGTCGAGGGAGGTGATTCTGCCCCTCT